TATTCTGAATTTTAGAGAGAAAGCTAAGAAGTTTCTTGATTCAATAAGATCTTAGTCGTTGGCTTTTTACATATGGTATTAATTATATTTAATTTTGCCAGAGTTTTTAATCATGGAGGAATGTTGCATTGTATCAGATGCCTTTTCTGCATCTACTGAAGCAATTGTGTGATTTTGTCCTTGATTCTATTGAGGTGGTGTATCACATTGATTGGTTTGTGCATGTTATTTCACCCTTGCATCCCTGAGATGAATCCCATTTGATCATAGTGAATGATCTTCTTAGTATTCTGCTGGATTCAATTTGCTAGCATTTTTGTTGAGAATTTTTGCATTTATATTCAACAATCATATTGGCCTATAGCTTTCTTTTCACTGCATACTTGTTCAGTTTTGATATCAAGTTAATACTGACCTTATGGGATGAATCTAAAAGAAATCCCTCTTCTACATCTTTTTAAATAATTTAAGGATTAGTGTTAATTCTTTAAAATTTTTGGTAGGGTGAAGTCAACTGGTCTGTGCTTTTCTTTGCTGATAATTTGTTAAATTACTAATCCAATCTCATTATTCATTATTCTGTTTAGGTATTCTACTCATGATTAAATTTTGGTAAGGTATATGTGTCCAATAATTTGTCAATTTATTCAAGGTTACCAAATTTATTGCCATATAATTGTTCATAATAATCTCTATCAATCCCTTGTATTATTGTGGTATTAATCATAATGTCTCCATTTTCATTTCTTATTCAGCATATATGAATCCTCTTTATTTTTTCTTGGCTCGTCCCATTAAGTATCTTTTGAAACAACCAGCTCCCTTCATTGTTCTTTCATTATCCATTTAGTCTCTGTGTCATTTACTTCTTCAAAGAGTTGTATTACTTCCTTCCTTTTACCAATTTTTGCATTTGATTTTTTAAAATTTTTTAATTCCTTGAGGCACAGTGATAAATCGTTTACTGTAGTTTTAAAAATGCACTAATTGTTATAAAAGTTCCTCTTTGTGTTCCTTTTGCTGCATCCCATAGGTTTTGTTGCGCTGTGTTTCCATTTTATTTCAAGAAATTTAAATTTTTTCTCTGATTTCTTTGTTGATCCATTGATCATTTAGGAGCAAGTTGTTTAATTTCCATGTATTTATGTAGTTTCCAAAGATTTTGCTGTTACTGATTTCGGTGGTCAGAAAAGATATTTAATATAATTCCCATTACTTTTAATTTGTTAGGAATTGTGTAACTTACCATAAGACCTGTCCTGGAAAGTGTTCCTGTTGGATATCACATCTAATTGATTTAGATACAACTTAACTTACCTGTTGTGTTCTGATTTTATGCCCAGATTTTATTTCTGAGAGTCCAATGTTAAAATTCCTGATTATTATTATGCTGAAGTCTATTTCTCCACTTAGGTTTATTAACATTTGTTATATATATTTGGGTGCTCCAATATTAGGTGCATATATAATTGTCATTTTTTTTCTTGCTAGAATAATATTTTTTCTGGTCTCTTTTTACTGTTCTGGTCTCTTTTTTTCTGTCTCTTTTTACTGATTTAAAATATATTTTGCTTGATAGAAATTTGAATACTACCTCTTTTTCTGTTTTCTATTTGTATAGCACATTTTGCTCCATCCTTTCATTTTCAGGTGTAAGTCAATATACATTGACTTACAAGTGAATTGAGTTTCTTCTAAACAGCATAAAGTTCAGTTCTGTTTTTTAATCCATTCTGTTACTCTATGTCTTTCAATTGGAGAATTTAGTTCAGTTATGTTTAAAGTAATTTTTGGTATACAATGTTTTCTGCCAATTTGATATTTGTGTTTTTTTTATCATTATTTCCTTTCTGTTATCATCTTCGTTGGTGAATAAGAGCTTTTCTCTAATGAAGTATTTTGATTCGTTGCTTCTTTTAATGCTGTGTCTGGTGCACATTTGTGGTTACCTTGAAACTTAACCAAAAAAAAGATTCTTTGGACTATAACATACTATCCTGAATAACAACAACGCTGATTATAAAGATAGAACAAAAATTTTAAAAAGAGAGAGAGAGAAGAGAGGCCAATGCAGTGGTTCAACAGGATAATCCCCCACCTAGCAGCACCACTTCCATCTCATACAGGTGCCAGTTTGTATCCCATCTGCTCCACTTCCAATACAGTTCTCTGCTTCTGGCCTGGGAAAGCAACAGAGGATGCCTCAAGCCCTTGGGCCCTGCACCCATGTAGGAGACCCATGATAAGCTCTTGGCTCCTGGTTTCAGATTAACTCGGCTCCAGCCATTGCAGCATTTGGGGAGCAAACCAGCAGATAGGAGATCTTCCTGTTTTCTTACTCTCTATAAATCTGCCTTTCCAATAAAAATAAGTAAACAAATATTTCTCTAAAAAATAAAATAGGTACAAAATCCTAATAAATAACTCTACATTTGTGCTCCATTCTCTCCACATTTTTAATTTCTTACATTACATCTGACACCTTTCAATACTGTTTCTTAATGTCTTAATGCAGTATTTGTAATTTTTGTCTTCACGGTAAATATAAATGATTTACACAAAATGTTTATAATAGTGTAGCATTCTGAATGCTTAGAGTTGTTACCAGTGAATTTTCCATCATTTGATATTTTCTTCTTACTTGTTAGTGTCTCTTTCTTTCCGTTGGAAGGTCTCTCTTGAACATTTCTTACAATATAGGTCCAGTGGTGATAAATCCTGTCAGACTGGGAATGTCTTCATCTCTCCCTCACATCTGAAGGACACCTTTATAGTGTTCACCCTCATTGCTAAAGGATGGCTTTGTCAGTATTCTTGGCTGGCAATTATTTTCCTTCAGTACTGTAAAAACCTTATCCTACTCCCTCCTGGCTTGTATGGTTTCTGCTGAGCAGTCCGTTGTCAGGCGAATTGGGATCATTTTTGGGTTATTTGCTTCTTTTCTGTTGCAGCTTTGAGAATCCTCTTTTTTATCTTTAACCTTAGAGAGCTTAACCTTAACGTCTTAGGGTAGACAAAGGTGGACTGAATCTGGATCCTCTTTGAACTTCTCACACCTACACAATTGTGCTTCTTCCAGGTGTGGAAGGTTTTCTGTTAATGTCACTCTGAATATGCTTTCAAGTACAATAACCTGAATATTTGCTATCCCATATTTCCCATAAGCTTTCTTTATTCCTTATATTTTTTTCCTTTTTCTCCTCCGTCTCTGTATTTTCAAATAGCCTGTCTTGGAATTCACGGATAATTTCTTCTGCTTGATCTAGTCTATTCTATGTGATATCTTCTATCACATTTTTAATTTCACTTAGCGTGCTTTTCAGTTGAGTGCTTCCACTTGATTTTGTTTAATTACTTCTATCTCTTTCCAATCTGTTAGACTATCGAATCATCTCTCTGCCTTCTCTTTCATTTCATTGAATCTCCTTAAAATAGTGGTTTTTTGAAATCTTCATCTGAGCATTTAGAAACTTCAGTTCCAAAGTGGCTGGTCTCTGGCACCTTATTTGCTCTTTAGGTCAGAGCATGATTCCCTAGAAGTTCTCAATACTATTGGTGCGCTACATCACCCGTGCAGTGAAGGACTCGTCATAGTAATCTGTTGTGGCTGTGCTTCTAGAAATTCTAAGCAATCTGTTGATTGTGTCTGAGCCTACGGATACTATCTATTTCACCACTAGATAGAATCATAATTTGACCCACTCCCACTGCTGAAATGTTTTTCACTTCCCAAACTCAAATTTGTCTCAAACCTGCAATTGATTTGCCATCCAGTATGACCTAGGAAAGTTCCTGAAAAGAAGCATTCCATCCCTACAAGCCTGTGACAGGCTAACACCTTGTCCTGTGCCTGTGCATGTCTCCACCTGCTAGACCACATCCCAAGTCCTCAGCCTCACTGAGATCAGCGCAACCTAGAGCTAAAACCAAAGCTCATCTTCCACAGGCCTGTCTACTACTGAGGCAGGCCCATGGGGTGGGCCTCATGACCCACTGGGAATGTTGGCTTGGATGTAAGACTAGAACCACAGAACTCTGATGGCCACTGAAACAGGTCCAGAAGTTCTATCTGATTATATTGGCCCAAGACACAGGCACCATTAGGGTCTGCTTAATGCTGGGTTTTATCAACCTGACACCGAACCCCAAAACTATCCAGTGATTCTCTGCTGTCCACCCAAGGATGTAGAAGTGAAAGAAGTGGCCTCGCAGCTACCTTGGCAGGCCCTGGGTGAGTCACAACTGAGTCTCAGTCACCATGTCCCTTGCAAGCTTGAGTGTGCACGCCAGGCCTGTAAGAGTCTTGGGGTGATACACACCAAAACAAATTCACCTCCTCCAGGGCACAGCTCTCCGCCTGATGTAGGGGCAAGTTCCGAGACTCTGTCCACAGGATCTGCCCAGCACTAAGCTTTCCCAGCCCAGTGGCAAATCCCAAGACACAGCAGTCCCTGCGCCCCTTGTCATCTGCCTCAAATTGGAGGAGAGAAAAAGGCAGGCTTCTGGTCACCCGAACGGGTTGAAACAAAGTCCTCGGGGGTCCTCCAAGCCCACCAGAGGCCGACAGTGGCAGAAGCCAAAATAAGGCTGACTCTCAATGGCAGGCAACTGGAGAGGCTCGCTCTGAGCAGCGACAGTGGGCCAGGGCTCGAATCCTTCGGGTTTTATCAGGTACTGGGTCCTGGTGAGGAACGCAGGTTCCGAGCTCTCTAGCCCGGCCCCGCGCCTGCACGCCTGGAGTTTGGCTTTTAGCCCGGGAAGGGAGGCTGCTCAGAGGCTTTAGACCTTCACTCCACAGCCCCGGGCCGACAGCCGGGACAGAGGCGCTTGGCCGGCCTGGCCCTGGGGTTCAGTCCCTGGGCTCTCCAGCCCGAGGCGTCCCTCCACGCTGCGCGCCTCGGCGCTGAGGGAGGGCTGACGCGGGCAACACTTCCCTTCCTGCTTCTTCGTCACCACTTTTCTTAGGACTGCAACATAGGTAAGGCACTGCGCTCCCTCACCTGGCTTCTGTGGCTCTGGAGAAGGCGACCTGGCGGGTGTAGCTGTTCGGGTTCTCGTCTCTGAGAGAACGAGGGCGACACGGCTGCTCGTCTGCCGCCATCTTGGCGCCGATCAGCTGGGGGTGGTTTTGTCGATCTCTTGACCGCTAGAGACCTAAACATTAAAGCAACAGAAGCCGTGTCCTCAACTGAACAGGATCATTGATTCTCATGGAAAGCAATCAATAAATATCAAGGAAAAGAGAGACATCTATTTTAAAAGACATACAGGTAGAGATAATCACTGGGAAGAAACGCAAACCTTCCCAATATCAGAAGAAATGCACACATAAAAAAAATCAAACAAGTCAAACAGAATATGGATAAAAGATTTTTGTTGAAAAAAAAAAAAATCCTGCAGCAGCAAGGAAGCCAGAAACTATAACATAAAATTTGATTTAAAAGAAAAAAAAATAGCTAAGACCAACCATGTCTGTCATATTAATTTATGTGAATTTTACCTACTAAAAATATTTACCCTAAGACTGAATCACATACAGACACACACACACACACACACACACACACACACACACACACACACACACACACACAAAGCCCAGATTTCTTTTATAGCTTAAAACACAATTACTTAGGGAGGCTGAACACAAACAAATGGGAAAAGACATAACATGCAAAAGAAATCAAGGAGCACAAGTTTAGTGCTGTCAAGATTGAGTCAGGCCTGGGAGGAAGCATGCAGAGGAGCATTTAACTGGAGAAAAGGAAGCTCTGTAAGAATAAAGCATGCCACTTCCAATGAGCTTCTGACAGTCAAGAATATTCGTGCTTCAGATATCGTCACAGCAACATCCTTAAAGCAAAACTGCAGGAAACGCACCAAGAAATAGCAGCATATCATTAGGCAGAGACCGCAGCTGAACAATCAGGCCACGACAGAAAACAATGAAAGTCGTTGAGGATAGAGAAGTCAATAGTCTAATTTATAAAGTATTCCCAAATATGTAAGATTACTTTAAAAATTGGTGGAAAAAAAATAGAAGTAAAAGATAAAGTTATGTATGTACAAAACATATTGTAATCCCCTGCCTAGTTTTTTTCACAGTATGCGTTTTCCACAGACATTTTAAATCCTCTTCTTTTGCATGAATTTCAAAAAATTTTACACCAAAATATACTTGTCTTTTAATCCTGTTTTCTACAAACCTCTGAGGCACTCCTATACATTAACTCAGTGCCCTGAAACCAGAAAAATTAAAATATTGAAAATTTCAGGCTGAAAAAACAACCTTAATGTACTCCAGAGAGTGGAAACTATATAAAAATATTCTGAGAATATAATGTAATAAAAGTAGAAATTTGAAATAAAATCCTTTCACTCAAATTTTCACCTATTCTTTTAAATAGCTCGTGAAACAAAACACAAATCAAAATTGAAATTGGAAAATATCTTTCAAAGAATTCTAATGGAAATGCTGTATACTAAAATGTATGCTAAAAGAATAAGCATATAGTAAATGAAAATAGATTATCTGGTCCAAGAAGGTAGGGATGGGGTCATTGTTGTGGTGCAGTAAGTTGAGCTGCTGCTTGCAAGGCCTTCTTCCCATAGTAGAATGTCAAAAGTAGCCCAGCTCTACTGGCTTCCAATTTAGCTTCCTGCTAATGTGCCCGGGAGGCAGAAAATGATGACCCGAGTACTTGGACCTCCACCACCCACCTGAGAAACTAGAATACAGTTCTGGCTCCTGGCTTCATTCGAGTTCAAGAACTATCTGGGTCAGGAACTAGCAGATGGAAGAGTTCGTTCTCTCTCTCTCTTTCTCTCTCTTTCTGCATTTCAAGTAAATCAGTCTTTTAAAAAGTTAGAAAAAAAGGCAACAAACTCAAGCTAAAAGAAAGCAGAAGTGACATTACTTATTCAAAAGAGTACAATGAATTAAAGAATTATAGAATAAATATATACAGATTCAAAAGTTCATTCTATTTTTTGAAGTTAATCGATAGACACACTATTAGTTAACCATATCAAACCAAAGATGAACAATAGCTATACTCCAAATACAAAATGTAATGAGGAAATAGCCAAAGAAAATGTTAAGACATAAAGCGTAATGTAACATCATCTTTTTACAAAATAATTTGAGAACCTGGGAAAATCAACCATAGTGAACTCAGAGCACCTAACAGATCAATTTGTATAAAAGGACACTTGTCAAAGTCTTGCTCTGACAAAGTCCAGACAGTAGCACAGAATCTTAACTTTCAAGAAGCAGGTGATTTTAATGCTATGTAAATACATTTAGAGTAAACAAGAAAGCAAATGCAGTTTTTTTTTTTGCAATTCTTTTTTATGAAAAATCACAACAAGAAAATGCATATGCCTGTATAATAATCACAGTAAGAGTTTATGGGAAAACATGATGAAACGTCTCATTAAAGTCAGGAACAAGGCCAGAACATTGAATCTCAGGACATTTTACATTGTCCCACACATGAAAGAATTGAAAAGGAAAACATAAAATTTTTCATCATTTTCTATAGATATAATTGCTTGCTTGAAAGACCCAAGGTAATTGACTAAAAATATTATAAACTATAGGAAAGTTCATTAAACTGGCTGGTTATAAAAACAACACACACACACACATATATATATATAAACATATAAACAACTAATTGAAAGGTGTAATGGAAGAAAAAATAGAATCGCAACAGAAGAAAAGATGCATAAAATTAAGATTTTAAAAATACAGGAAGTATGGAGGGAAGAAAACTAGAAATACTTCTAAGCAGCCATAGAAGAGTTGGATATGAAAATTCAACATTCAAAATAAGACAAACTTTCCCTGTGTTAATATATAGACTCAGTGTAACTCTGCCTTTACAATAACAAGAGTTAGGATTTTTTAATTTCGTTTTTGCTTACTTGAGCATTTATGAATAAAAAATACATAATTCTGGAGGCAAGTGTTGTGGTGTAGAGGGTTAACCACCTGTGATGCTAGCATCCTATATAAGCACTGGTTCATGTCTCAGCTGCTCTACTTTCAATCCAACTCCCTGCAGCAGAAAATGGCCCAAGTGCTTGGTCCCCTGCAAGCAATGTGAGAGACTCAGATGAAGCTTCTGGCTCCTGGCCTCAGCCTGGCCCAGCTCTGGCTGTTGCAGCCACTGGGGAATGAACCAGCAGAGAGAAGATCTCTCTCTCTCACTTTCTCACTCTCTCTCTTTCCCTTCTCTATAACTCTGCCTTTCAGATAAATTAAATACATGAACTGAAATAAATGTCAGTCTCTAGAAATAAACAAGAATAACTAGAAAAAATATATATCTTACTGTAGTTTTACATTTTTAGAAAATGCATATTTATGGGTCCAGCACAGTAGCCTAGTGGTTTAAGTCCTCACCTGTATGTTCCAGAATCCCATATGACCACTGATTTGTGTCCAGGCAGCCCCACTTTCCGTCTAGCTTCCTGCTTGTTCCTGAGAAAGCAGTAAAGTATGGCCCAAAGCCTTGGGACTCTGCACCCATGTGCGAGACCCAGGAGGCTCCTAGATGCTGGCTTTGGATCAGCTCAGGTCTGGCCATTGTGGCCACTTGGGGAGTGAATCAGTGGACAAAAGACCTGTCTCTCCTCCTCTCTGTATATTTGACTTTCCAATAAAAAAAATAAATCTTTTAAAATGCTTATTTATTTGAAAGGCAGTTATAAGAGAGAGGGAGAGACACAGAAAGAAAACAGGTCCTTATCTACTGTATTCCTTAAATTGCTGCAACAGCTGGGGCTGAGCCTGGGCCAGCCAAAGCCAGGAGCCTTGAGCTTCTTCCAGTTCTCCCACATCAGGGACAAGGGTCCATGTATCCATGTACTTGGATTATCTTTTTTTTTTTCCCCCCAAGTGCATTAGCAGGGAACTGGAACAGAAGCAATGCTATGGGATTCAAACCAATTAATGCTCATATGGGATGCCAAGTGTCAGAGGCAGCAGCTTGATTCAATCCATCACAAGACCATCTTCCCCAAAATATTTTTTCAACAAGAATTATGGTTGATACAAGTAATGCTAGTTTTACCAGATATTAAAACCTACAAAGTCACAAACATCATTTTTTGTTTTAAGTATTTATTCATATTTATAATTCTTAGTTTATTTTCTATATACATTTTTAGAACAATAATGAAAATATTAGCCTCAGTACCACAAGTAAAATGTCCTATTTTTTTTTTATCCCATGCCTTATTCTATTTTAATTATAGCATTCCATGGCATTATTGGCAAAACTGCATGTCGCCTGCGTTTATTATTCCTGGAAATGTATCGCTGTTCTTGGTTCCGTGACCATCACAAGTACCAAAATCTGAAAATCCTCAAGTTCTGCTAATTAACTACCAGAGCATTTTCAGAGTTTAAACACACACCCTTCTATACGCTTTGGTCATCTCCAGGTTACTTACAATAATAAATATAAATACTATGTAAATAATTGCTTTACTGTGTTGCTTTAGGAAATAAGAGCAAGGGGGAAGTCTACACATACTCAAAATAGTGCAATTCTTTCACATCTTCCAGGCATCATTGATTGAATGCTTAACATCTCATATTCACAGATTTCTGAGTTATGTCATTGATGTCCTTTAGGGGTCACTATTCTGTCTATCACATTCCCTATCCAGGTTTCCCCCATTCTTATCATCTTATATTACCGTTTTGTATTTGTGAAAACTAAGAAGATAACATTGGTTCATTATTGTCAACTAAACTCCAGGCTGTATTTGCAAGTCATACAATTTTCCATCATATCTCTTTTTTTTCTTTTTTTCTTAGATCACGCCCTTTAATAAGGTCAGAATTTATTGGATGAGTTTTGGAATTCATTAATAATTGTGTATCCATAAGCAGTGAGAAAAAAAGAAGTTCAATGGTGTACATGGTATGAATGTAGATGTATTCTCAAAAGGATCATTCAGGCTGTTAACCTATACTTAAATACTTCTTTATTTTTATTGAAAGGGCAGATCAGATTTATAGAGAAAGAGAGGCAGAAAGAAATATCTTCCATTTGATGGTTGACTCCCCAAGTGGCCACAATGGCTTGAACTGCACCAATCCAATGCCAAGAGCCAGTAGCTTCTTCCGGATCTCCAAT